TTACGCACTTTTGCAAGTTCACGTATAATTGGGCGTCACCCAGAGTCTCAAGCACAGCGTCTAGATGACGCTTGTGCGACTCTATCGCGCTCAGACCGTCCTCCGCCCTACTATGCACGAATACATCGTCAAAGTAATGGGGCGCGTAGGCACGGTGCTGACGCATCACGTGAGCCACCACTCGGTTGAATGTTGCCGGAGCATTTTTCAACCCTTGTGGCATCACAAGCCACTCCCACAGCATACCGCTTGGGGTGCTTACTGCCGTTTTGGCTACATCAGTATCTCTCATGAGAGCCTGATAGTTTCCACAGAACATCATAGAACGGGCTGTCCTTCAAGTATTCCCAGCCTTGAGCAGCGAACCGTTTCTTTTTGTCGGTCTCCAAGACGCTCTCATCCATTGTGGATGAAGAGAAACAGTCCACCGCGTTCTCTTCTGGAACTGTTGCAACTATCTCGTGGATCTTTCCTTCCTTTAATTCGGACAGGAAAAAATCCCACGTCATCTCCGAGAGATTTACTATCTCCTCGGCAGATGCCAAGACAAGTTGGAGCACCTCAACTGAGGATGCCTCCGGCATCTTGTCTTCGACGCCCTCGAACAACTCGTTCGTAGGTCCGTCCTCTTGGACTGATACAGATCCAAGGGTCACTCGTTTCGACGTGCCCTTGATCGTCTTAATACGTATGGTGCTCGTTCTTCGAGTCACCACGACCTTTGACCTGGAAGAAGGTGTTGTTGCTATCTCAGCTAACGCACTCCTTCCAACCGCACCAGGCTCTTGGCTCTGTGCCAGTTCTTGTGGCGCTTGACTTCCTGTCAGCCCACCATCAACTGCCACAGGCTCTCGGCTCTGTGCAAGAACATTGGACGCATGACAACTTGTCATCGTCCCATTCACTACACCAGTCTCCTCGAGCTGGGTAGGAATTTGTGTCACCTGGCTTTCTACCAGGGCAATTCCAACTACACCACTCTTTTCAAGCTGGGTAGTTCCTGGTGCCGATGGACATACCGTCATAGCACCCTCGAATGTGTTGGACACAGCATCAGCCACATAAGCCTCTCTCAAGAGCACATCCTTTCCGGTGTCTTGCGTAGAGCTAGCGACTGTGCGTGTACGCCAGTCTATCCATGGCTGGTGTTTAGCCAACCAAGGCATGCCTAGGATGAGGTCATACGGACTCTCCATGCCTAGCACTGTGAACTTCTCTTTACAAGAGAAGTCACTGAAACTGAAGGCGAGTTCAACTTGAACTCCCTCCGATTTTACATGCGCGCCGTTCGCTGAACGAGCGATCGCGTCTTCTCGCTTGCCATCCTGGCAAAGAGACTCATAACTCGCCGGACTCTTTTTCAGAGCCGCGAGTTTCACAAAGTTTTGTGATGCACCCGAATCCACGAGAAGAGTCATCACTTGGTCATAGCCTCGTACTCGAACGCTATAGACCAAAAGGGTTGAGGCCCGACCTTTCGGAACCTCAGGGACTATGCTACTCATTTGTTCGATCACTCTGAACTTAGGGGTAGCTTCAGAGTCCGCGACAGTAGGGCATCCCGCTCCTACTGCGCTCCCGCATTTCCCGACCCATCTTGGGCAGGTGCTGAACCCGTGCGTCGTGCACGCTGGTTTTTTGCACCTCCCTTCGGGTAGGGAGACCTTTTGCTGGCTGCCTTAGCACCAGCAGCTACTTTGGCATAGCAGCGAGCCATCGTATGGCCTCGCTTGCCGCACTTGTAGCAGATCACATCTGCATTGCCTAACTCCATAGGAGTGGCATCAGACTTCTCGGTCGACGGCCTGTAATAGGCTGTCGCCGAGGCGCTGTTGTAGGATTGCTCCTCAACTAAGGCAATGTCAATTGCCTCTTCCATCGTCGCTGGCACCGTTCTAAAAAGGGCCTGACGCGATGGGCCGTGCCTAAGTCCATTCATGAACGTGGCCACCTTGATACGCTCTGGTATCGGTTCCCCATTAATGGACGCCGACAGCGAACGCATCTCCTGCACAAATTCTTGCAGAGAGCGTTTCGCCTGTCGTGCTCCAAAGAAGCGCGTCATAAGCAACACTTCGTTGTTAGGCGACTGATACATGGCGCAAATCTCTGTTTTTAAAAATCAACCATGATGGAAACGCTTCAGCGTTTGCCATAAGCGCAGAGTATGCCTACTCTGACGCTTTGCCACGCAAGTTGGACATGGCATACGACACCATTCTAGTGTCGTCTTCGATGAGCTGCGCCACTCCACATTGCTCCACTGCTAATAACCAGTGAACAATCGTGTGAGGGCTAGTTCCATCGAACTTCGGAGGGTCCATCCGAATGGGCCTCGGTTGAGCAGGCCGGGCAGAGAGCGTCTCAACAGTTCTGTTGAGCGCTTCATTCCGAGCTTGCTCACGCAAAAACTCATCCTGAGTCTTATTAATGGACTCAGCGGTGGTTTGGCTGTTTGCCTCAGTCGCGTTTCTACGCTGTCCGAGCACAAACGCCTCAAATTGCTTCAACTTAGTAACATATTGCTCACAAGGACAATGCAAGAGGTTGGCCAGGGCTAGTATAATAATTTCATGCGCCAAATGCTCAGCCAACTCCCTATGGTGTTGGGAGAGGTGAAGAAGTCTCCCAATTCTTATTAAGGGACATCCGTGTCCACACGAACGCTCAGAGAGACGGGTCGTGGGAAGGACTACTAGTGCTACCAAGTGTAGACGGGCACTTCTACGATGTTGCCTCGTACTACGAGCACACACCTTATGCACAAGCAAGGAAGAGGTTAGACCGTCTTACCTTCGCGTGCGAGGGTGGTTGGGAGGTTGGTCGACTGCTTAAGCAGTCGTACCACCAGTTGCCTCTCGCTTAAGCGAGAGTGCAACGAACTTCTTAACAAGAAGGCACCGACGTCACGCAGAAGCTTTTCAGCTTCTCGTGCGTGGTGCGTATGTTTAAGCAAATCCAATACTGAGCTATATTTAATTAATTATAACTAAATATATACTTAACTACTGATTGGCTATATATGTATAGATCGGATACGCGACTCTTTAGAAGCGTATCCTGTCGCATGAACTTAAATTTAGATTTAAGTTTGCGAATGACGTCCTTCTGAGACGTCGCGATGCCTAGCTTCAACTAGCGTCATCCCTTCTCATGTGAATCCATCAATGTATATCACATTCACGAGGGTGGATCACATTTGTGTATCGCACCCAAGTGACAGGTCAAAAGTAATCATGTATACTTTTAGACCAAACATTAAGTATATTACTTAATGTTTACGTGTAACTAGATGCCCTGTTACAACTTCATTGAGTTTATTAATGACTTTAAGTACATATAATATATACATCTTCCTTTCTCCTACAATTGAGCGTGTTCGGTTAGTTGTATAGCTTTCTCTGCTTCCGTCAGTGTACGTGAGATTTCGAAGTAACATTTGCACTATGTCAGTGCAAGTAGACTATACTTTGTCAGTGGTGCCCCGTTGTATTGCCGGCCAACTGGGTCAACACAGCGACTTTTTTTACCACAGTTTGAGCATGTTGCCGCATCTTTGAAAGTTCCAGTGCGACGCAGAAGGTCAAGTTTAGGCCACAATGCTTGAACCTGTCGTCGTCAAGCACCAGCACTAGTACCAGCACCAGCACTAGTACTAGCATTAGTAGTTCAATCAGTAGATTTAAAAGCACTAGATGATAAAGTCAAAAATTCATAGCATTTTAGTCTTTTTTGTAACTTTAGTAAGATGGCACACTGACCAATCATAATCAAAAAATTTAGGGTGGTTGTTGGTTACCGAAATGGTGGTTGATTATTGATGCCTCCCATATACACTATTTCATGTCCAACCTGCGCAGACCTTGTATATTACACTCACCTCTAGATCGTTTTCATCTACATCAGCCGTTCAATCAAGTATTCACGTAGCAGCTTTATCCTGAGTAATGCCACGAGTGGTAAAAAGGTCACTCCTGGAACGATAGCTCCAGTCTCTTGTCATTCTATCTGTCATCGAATGCTCGACCGAGCCTTAAAAATCTAAATGTTGCGCGTGGACTGAAGCCGAAGTTGGAGCTTAGGGTCGCAATCTAGGATAGCCAGGGATCGATATGTGACTCAACGTGACCTAAAAACATTTAGGCCACTCTATGATTGATACATACGGGTGGCAATGTGGCCTTCTCTTTAAAATCTCAAGCAAACATAGTTTACATCAGCGTATCTGCTGACAGTATGCAGGGCATATCATCGTTCTCGTTCTCATTATCCAATGACGAAAGCCTCGTGACGACTCTTACCGTCTAATAAGACTTTGGCTTAGCATAGTTGTCTTATTCGTATCACAAGTGCAATTTATCTAGCACGAATTCGAGTACGGTTTGGTCATCGAACCATTTCGGGACAGAACGTCCAGCTTGTCGGGGACTTCTTTTAGCACAATGTGACATCTGCGGAACATAGGCGACCGCTACTACGAACGCACAGTAAAGAAACCATGTACGATTTCTGTGCTGCTGACGCACTTGGCCTGCTTCAAAAAGATGGGATTCGTCATGACGCGATTGCATCACGGCAATAGTGCAGCCGTTTACTGTGGGCACAATTGGCAAACAAAACATCAGCCTAACATGTACAACACAGTAATGTGCAATGCAATAGTGCAATCTGTGTGAGATTTTGTTTTTGTGCAACAATTGGCAATCACTGCTTTGTAGATCTTTGCAAGTGGCATTCTCGTTTCTATCGCATACTTGCCATTTGGCAACCAGTCGCAGGTAAGGACGGGTCAATTGGTAATTAGATCCCATTATAAATGGGCTATAAAATCCTATGTACTGGCGTTATAGCCAGACCATCTTGATCCTTTTCATCGACCCAAAACTTCGGTTCTAATAGCTATTCGCCATTCAATTTTGGGTTTTCCTCGAATCGCTCCCCTTCGATCCATTTCCTGATTTGCCACGTAGTATTAAGTCGCTTCTTAATTAACTACAACTATGGCAGCCACCATCGCGTCCTTTGCCAACTTTCTTAAAAATTCCAAAGCCCACGCCGTCGACAACCGTGAAGTGCTAATTGCTGGTGTTTTATACAAAAAACCAGATCGTAGTTCCCTCTTGTGGAAGAAACGCTACTGCGTCATCTACACGGGTGAACTGCAAATCGTGTACTTTTTGTCCCTCGAAGATTTTGAAAAGCGCGTCATACGTGGCAAAATTCCCTTTAGCTCCGTGCACGAATGGGATGGCAAGCCCAATGGTTTTCAGTTCTACACGCCTGCTAACAACTGCTTCCGTGTGTACACGGAGACGTCCGAGGACCGACTCAAATGGTTCCAAGTCATGCAGAAATGCATCGACAACGCACCTGACAAGAAAGACGGAGAGCGCGTCGAATACGTGCGCCCCGTAGCCTCGTCACCATCTTCGGCGTCCCCCAAGGGCGCGAGTTTCCGCTCCAAACGCAGCGACTCGTGGCGCGAGGAGGACCCAGACGTGCTCTCCATGACGGTAGAGCTCGAGGATCTACGCAGTGAAGTCGCGACGCTAAAGGCCGAGCTTGCATCGTACGAACAGGCCGAGAAACGTTACGGACAAGAGGTTAAGTCCGTTCTCAAGCGTCGTGGTAGTGTTCTAGACGACGGCACGGAGCTTAATATCGAGCCACGGGAAATGGAACGCATGCGCGCTATCTTTAATCTCTTTGACGTGCAGGGCAACGGGTTCATCAGTGAAGACGACCTACTGGACCTTCATGCCAAACTAGGTGAGCCCATCTCGAACGAGGATGCGCGGGAGGCGATCTCGTACATGCACAACAAATCGTCCACGGGTCAAATTGACTTTAACTCATTCATGAAATGGTGGAATGACGACCACGCTGCGGACAACCAGACGGAGGCCATGCGTCGTTACCAGGCCAAGTTCAAATTTCTCAAGGCACGGATTGCTAACCCGGAGGTCGGGAACATTGAAACAGAGGCCGTCGGCGCCTTCCCCAGCTTCGAGTTCCGCGTCAACTTCTACCACACGGGTCCCAATGGTGAACGCCAGCAGATATCTCCATGGCACGATATCCCGCTCTACAACCCAGACGGCACAGTTAACTTTGTCTGTGAGATCCCGAAGTGGACTCGCAAGAAAATGGAGATTGCCACAGGCGAACCGTTCAACCCCATCAAACAGGACACTAAGAACGGCAAGCTGCGCGAATACGGCTGGGGAGAAATGATGTTCAACTATGGCGCATTGCCGCAGACGTGGGAGGACCCGTCGTATGTGACAGAGGGTACGGGCTGTGTTGGAGACAACGACCCGATCGATGTGGTGGAGATTGGCACAAAGCAATGGCGCACGGGCTCCATCGTGCAGGTCAAGATTCTTGGCGTGCTCGCTCTCATCGATGACAACGAGACGGATTGGAAGGTTATTTGCATCAACGTAGAGGACCACTACGCCCCGCTCATCAATGACGTGGCGGATGTCGAGGCCCACATGCCTGGCTGTATCACAGCCATCCACGACTGGCTCCAGGACTACAAGCTGCCTCAGGTGAACAAGTACGGTTACGACGACAAGTGCATGGGCCGCGACTTTGCTGAGGCTACCGTGGCCGAGACTCACGAGTTTTGGAAGCTGCTAATCGAACAACGCGGCGGCCAAGCCACCGTTTAAGCAGGCAGCTGAGCAGCAGAGCTCTCCGCTAGTCGAAAAGTAAACGCAGACACCAAACTGCTGAAGTACATGTAGAAACTGACAAAAATGACAAACTTCATTTTTCAAAAAAACCGGCCAAGTGCTCTGCTCATGTGCTTATAGTCACTTATGTTAATTCAACGGACGAGTTGCGTGCGTTTACATCGGGTGTTCCGCTGTAATGCTTGGACACGTGCTGATCCCCATTTGTGCAAGGAACTGACCAGCATTGGATCATGTCGCTCGCAACAAGCGCAAGTGGACAGTAATCGATATTGTTCTTATACCTGACCAAGAATAGTTATTCTTGTCGCCGTTGAAAATATCGCCTTGATGGAATTGCTAACGTTTTCTTGCTGCAAATAGCAGCTGAAAATGGAAGTTCAAGACAAGTATGGGTTGTCCGGTGACTACCGTTGATGTAAGCCGTCTTTAGCCTCGTTCTCGACCGATGGATTCGATCATATGTCTGCTATTTCTCTGCCCAAGATTAGATTGATACCATTCAGGAATCTGCTTAACGCGGTGGTTTTATCGAGAGCAATTTGCTAATATGTCCACGAAAGTCATCATTCCAGCTAAACGCGACCTCAGCGTTAGCATTAATGACGTTTTGCCGGAGCTGCTCGCGGTCAAGACTATATCACTATCTCCTGACCGCCGTAGACCCAGATCTCCGTCGCCACAGAACAGCCGATTGGCATCGCCGACCTCCAATGCAATAGAAACCGTCAGCTTTGTAAACAATTCGAAATCTACTTGCGTTTCCACGTTGTCATCAACAGAGCTCGATTCCAACGTGACGATCAAGAATGCTAACACTGAAGCTGAGATTACTTCATTGGCGTCGAAAGCTATCGCAGAGGCAAATCTGTCGCTTCTGGAAAAGCGAATGCGCGTCGGAAAGTCGAAGCTTAAACACAGCCGCAGTTTCAGGGTTCCTGCTGGCAACGTTATCAACCTTCAGCATGAAAAGTATGCGCTTACGTACGGCATGATGTGTGGTATCCGAGATTCGGCTGGACTCCAAAAGTCGTTCAGACAGCGGTTGACAATGGACGACTTCATGCTGGTCGACAAGAAGGTCTTCTCCGCCAACGCTCAGCTCCGACACCCTTTCAAGTTTAAAGACTACTCGCCTGGCGTGTTCCACCAAGTGCGTCGCCACTTTGGAGTAGATTTGGCAGATTATATGCTCACCCTTAGCGGGGACTTCAATTTTATCGAGTTCATGTCGAACTCCAAGTCGGGCCAGTTCTTCTTCTACTCGCACGACGGGCGCTTCATGATTAAGACACAAACTAAGGACGAGTCCAAGTTCCTTCGCCGCATTCTACCGCACTACTACAAGTTTGTGATGGAGAACCCAAACACGCTCATGACACGCTTCTACGGCATGCACCGAGTGGAGATGCACCACCTGCGAAAGAAAATGCACTTTGTAATCATGGCCAGCGTATTTGATACGCCGTTGGAGATTCATGCGCGATATGACCTGAAAGGGTCACGCATTGGACGACATGCGTCAGCGAAGGAGCACGAGCGAGGCAATGCAGGTGTCTTGAAAGACAACGATTTGCTAGACAAGGGCTTCCACCTCCAGATGAGCGTTGCCCAACGCACCATGTTCCTTATTCAGCTTCGCAAAGATGTCGATTTTCTGAAACGAATGAAGATTATGGACTACAGTCTACTCGTTGGCGTGCACGACTCTAATTGCACACGCGATGATCTGTGCACCAGTTCTGCAATGAGTGACAGCCCTATGAGTGTTACATTGCAACAAGAAGGTGGCTACAATTATTTGCCCACTTCACACACGGGCTTATACTCTGACTTCGTGCATGTGCCGATGTTGCGACCGTGTCGTTCGACATCGATGCCTGAAAGCGGGGCTCAACTGCAACCTCCTTTGATACTCAGTGCGATTACAAATATTCGAACGCGGCTTGCACTATCATCGCTAAACAATTCTACGTGGAGCGACGGCTGCGCAGATTTGAACTTGGACTCGGACAACGACTTTGATTTGGACGATTCCACGAGTAGTGAAGGTGGGTTTGGTCGCAGCTTCGATGCTGCATTTGGCGAATACTGTTCACAGGCCAACGGAAGCTCAGCTGGGTCGTTGCCGTCTACACCGAAAGATGCAGCCGCCGTGCCCCCTCTATCTCCCCGTCTATTCGATGCTGCAGCGTATGCCGACTACTCGGAGTCAGTCTTCTGCAGGGATGACGGCGGCATTTGCGGCCGCGATCAACACGGCCGCAAGAATGGGTTCGTCTACTTTCTAGGCATTATCGACATTTTGCAGCAGTACAACACGCGCAAGATCGCTGAGACGTTTTTCAAAGGCCTGCGTCATAATCGCAAGCACATCTCGGCCGTGGAGCCGGAATTTTACGGTGACAGGTTCATTGAATACATGGAAAAGCACGTGGTACAGGACGACACAATGATTTCGCTCCGACCGTCATCTTCATCGTCGTCCGTCTTGGAAACGCAGACTTGTTCCAATGACAATGTCTGATGATGAAGGATAGTAAATAGTGAAGGGAACAATGTACGCAAAATCAAATTGCATGATGCTTTTCAGATACCTACACTACATATTTCAAGTTTTTCTATGAATGTCTCACGCATGCCGTTAAAGCATTATCATTTGTAACCCACACTCATCACAACTTTGCGTCATTAGAAAACTTCACGCAGCATGAAACGCTAAGGCTGGCGGGGGATATCAAAAGCCCTGATGTGCGCAACAAGCCTCCTTTGCCTTGATCTGCTCTCCATAAATTCCCAGTAAATCTATTTACACTGCTTTATTCCCTTTTTCTTGGTCTTCATGCTTCGTTTCGTTTCCTCAAACCTCTTTAAAAAGCTCTTAGAATGACGTCCTTTACCCCATTCCCATGTGCTGGATGGGCAAGAGACTGTATCTGCCTCAAAGTCCTTTGATTCTCCCCTCGCAATTCCACTAAGCCTGAACTTGGCTGTTATCGACATGGCAGGACCGTCAGATGGTCACGATCTTTCCAGGCTCATTTACAAGGCCAGACTCGCATCTGAGGCCTCGTGCTGTTGTTCGAACCGTTTAGATTCTTCAAGCACATTGTGGCCATTAACGTAACGCGCGTATTGTACTGCAGGCTACCTCTTTCACTCATGCGTAGCTTATTAGCAGCTTTAAAATCGTTATGCCGCTAATGACAGTATCTCTCGATGGGCCAAGCAAGCGTTGGCTAATGCAGGTGTCGGATGCCGATGTAATTGAGACATAACTTAAGATGAAAGGGTATTTGGTGGCATACTGGGTGCGCCAAAGTAAACGTTATTGTCCCATGTTATGGGGATCCATATTAAGCGCGGACATGCAGTTGAATGATATCCAAGTGTGTTCTTTTCTAATTATGGGGCTCTACTGCTTTGGCTCGCCCCCCCCTTCGTCGCCTTCTCGAATAACGCCGATGACTTTGACTTTATATTTTCTGTTTTATAAAAGCTTGACTCTTTCTGCGTGATGTTACTGTATGTGGAAGCGGAATGTCTACCGACGCCAATGACCATACCGACACGCAAAACGCTTCGGGCCCACGTGCATACCAGTTGAAGTGCGGCACCCTTCGTGCGTATGAGCTTCGCGACATCGGTCTCACCAAATTTAGCTGCTCTTCCAACCAAGGTAGTTCCGCTTTTCTGACAATGGTTTCGGTAGAAATAAGGATACAAACTATAATCATTGTGTCGCTCCCTGCTACGCGACGGCGTTCGGCTTCAATGTAGTGCTACAAATACCTTATCGTAGCAACGGCCACATTCAAACTTCCTCCTGTTTTTATCGCCAAAAACAACGTCAACAGCTGGCGAATGTGATGAGCATGAACTAGCTATGCGCTGCGTTTGTCTTGTGATTTGTCACTCAGTATCGTCGCTCTTTGAGAAAATGGCGATTCTACGATGATTCCCTTGCGTCAGCTCCAACCTCTATAAACCACGGACGTCAAACAGCTGACATTGGGGATAATCGTTAAGCCTATTGCATCGACCCATGCACCACGTGACAATGAATGGTCTCGCAAAATTGTTACCGAGAATTAATGTAGCGGCCAGAATTACTCCAGATATACTGGAATGAGTGCTTACATTTGAGAACACTGTAATCCAAACGAAGAATGGTCTCGGTAGACGTTGCTGTTGTCTAGATGTCTGTGTTCAATATAGTTCTAGCATTAGTGATAGCGATCATAAACACTTAATTAAGTCCAAATATATTCGCGTGAAACAGTGAAAAGCTCGCTTGAGTTAACATGATTATCGGTTTGTTTAAATAATACCAGTGTCGTGCTTGGTCGTCGTAAACTTGTTTCGAATCGAGTTGAGCACTTGAAGCGAGCGACGTGGCATCCGGCGAATATTCTCGACCCCCGAGAACCGGAGCATTTTAGCTGCAGAAGTGGCGTCACAGTCTATCGTAGGTGAGGACACTGCACTCGATTGGCTCCAATCTTCTAGCTTTTTAACGTCAAGCTCACACACAGACGAGGACCTGGAAAATGTCGCTATCGATTCCACGGGGGTGCGTGGAGTGCATGCGGACCCTGGAAAAGGGTCTTTTGGAGTCCCATCGTGTTTCTGGTTCTCCGAATCTCGATTATTTTCCAAAGGCGACGTCAGTCGTTGCGAAAATGCAGGAGACTCCCACGCGTCCTTCCCCTGGGTCTGGGATTGCGTCGACAATGAACGTTTAGCAACAATCGAAGTCCAATCGGCTCCCGCTCCAGCTCGCAGTCTTACGAAATGACTGCTCATATTCTCTGCTCGCCAACATGTGAAAACTTGCTCATCCGAGCGCATTTTGTGCAAGGCGCACATGGCACAACATACGCGTTGTCCAGCCACCACAGAGTTCACAGCGGCATTTAAAGCGTCATCTTCCGCGAAATCTTCTTTGTTCAGATCCTCAAGACTGGGTGCAGTGGTCGTGAGGCTAGTCTGTTCGGACGTTTCGTCCGCTTTCGTGTCCTCGGTAGGCGCGACCATGTAGGCTTCAGAAAACGTTTTTGCCAGTGGTCGGTCGTAGGTTGGTGAATTGAGAGGCTTCTGAACGTTCACGTCACTTTGATTCGTGATGAACTTGATCACTTCCGACGCAACTTGTTGCATCAACACGGTGCATTTCTGGTTCAGTGGATTCAACAAAACCCGTTGCAAAGTCGCGAAAAGTCTGACAAGAGCTTGGCATTGGTTCTCTACGATGCGAGGCTTGGGACGTTGACCCGCAACTCGAAACAAGTGGCGATACCTTTGTTCGGCTGGAAGAACCCGTTGCACGTAGGCGTAGAGCCATGGACACTCTGCAAAGCAAAGATGGCCTCGACTCAACATCTTGAGTACCCGGCGTTGGAACGCTCGACACTCGGTATAAGATCGGAGATGGCGCCATGTCGAGCTGGATTTGGTGTCGTGCACAGTGATTGCGAAAATAGACGCGTCTCGAGTCAACGTTTTGGTGGTCACTTTGAACGTTACATCGGCCAAGTAGGCCACACTTGCAGCCAGCGCTTCGCTCGGTCTCAAGGCTTCCGAGTCGCGGCGAAGGCGACTGGCATAAAGTGCCGAGCATTTGGGGTGACGCTGCAAATCCTTGTGGCTCATTTGCTACTACTGGAGCACTTCGGAGACTTTCAGCACTGAAGCCAAACTTCCGTCAGCAACGCGAATTATATACGAATGGAGCAAATCGCAAAATGGAAAGTGCTCCAAAGTGCACGTACTGAGCAATTTGGTTTAGACCGAAGTTTCTTGTTGATCGACGGTTAAAAATATCGGTTGGATGGGTTTTGGCTTTTTTGAATAAAGGTCGGAACGTTTCTCCTAACAGTAGTTGGAGTCCCTTCTAAACTATTATACTTGATATCACTATGAAAGTGAAAAATCGAATAAGGTCACAAGCCGCATTACTAACGCGATTTATTGACGCAGCTTGGAATTAGAAACGTGATGTGAAGGCTTGGCATTCGATGGATGGAAGCATGTGCCTGTCAATTGACCACAGATTGACTGCGACATGGTCGAAAACTCGCATCTTTGTCACTCAGATCCAACCCTTTGGGCACAATGTGGCGAAGTGAGAGATTTGAATCCATTTCAAATGCCTGATGCTCAAGGGGCCAGTACACTACTGTGTTGAGTATCGTAATTCAACGTGAGCACCATGTGCTTTGGGTTCTTCTCGGCTATTGATATAGCGACCACTTGGCTCACGTTACTCGCCTTAGCCCAACATCGGAATGCCGTATGTTGCTGTAGTTTGTAGCCACAAATTTTTATGAATTGTAGCCTAAACAGTTGGAGGAAGGTGCTGGCCAACGCTCTCTACACTTTGCTTTAAAGATATGATGGAGATAGGCCAGGCTACTATCAATAAAATATATTTCGTACCCTCGAGATGTGCAAAAGCGTTGGAGTTCGGATCGAATCCGGACATGAAATCCGCGTACTTCTCTCTATCATAACTTACTTTTGCAGGCTCAAATACGCTCCATTCTCGTATGGTGTACGAAACTACCTATACCTTAACAAGTCATGTTGGGGATTGCCTCGCCATGGCCACAGGTCGGACATTTCATCGCTTCATTCAGTTTTTGGATCAAACATTCGTCGTGAAAGCGGTGGCCGCAACTCAGCGTCGAAAATGATTCGGCAGTTGCGAATTGAGACCATCGATTTTCACCCACGTCGGTCTTCCACTGCTTTTGAAAATGACCCACCAACGTATATATCGCACAGCCTGCAGATGTCCTTCTGTATGACAGCGTCGTTGCTTGGTGTGTTGTCGGAGCTTGACAAACCGTTAACGTCAAGATCTCCGTCGTGCCACCTCTGCAGCAATTGACGAAGCCAAACGGGAGCTTTGCCCAGATCGTTTTGTTCAAATTGCTTTTGTTCACCAACGACGAACTCCAGCAGCTCTGATGCCACACCTCGCATCACTAGAGGACAGACGTGGTTGGCTTTGCTTATCAGAAAGCTCCGGATTGTCGCCAAGCTCCGTGTCAACGTCTTCCGTCGTCTATCCATCACTTGCGTTGAGGAACTTCCGACTAAGTGAGAAGTGGGGTAGTAACTTTTGAGGAACGTGTAGAGCCACGGACACTCGGCCTGGCAGAAGTGGCCGCGCTTCAAGGCCGCCACCAACCTTTTGCGTAAGAACCGGAATTCGTCAAAACTGCGAACCAAGTGCCAAGTTGAGGACTCAGCTGAATCGTGGCTTTCACACGTCACTGTGAGCAAGTACTCAACACGCCGATAAAAAGGTAGCGGCCAGGAGATGAGAGGCGTCACATTCATCGAAATGCCATCGAGCCATGCCACTTGAGGCGGCAAAGGACCGACAGGCAGCGACCGTTTCTTCCGAGAACGTTTCGTGCTCATTTTCGAGTCGTGTCTTGACGATGTGGCCCCGTTAGAATCAAAACGAAGAGTAGCATCTTCGCAGCTTTGTCAAGTCTTGGATTGAAGCTAGTTCGGTCATATCACAAACGGTCATGTCAAGTTTCCCAAAATTAGGTCGTTGTGAAGAAACGAATCTTACAACCAAATGCAGCAATATTCACCCACCTATTGAAGGAAGAGAAAGCTTGTCGATGAGGTCGTTTGATTTGTTAGTGAACACTTTCGATGCCATCAAAATGTTTAAATGCAGCGACGGACTGAAAGGTTTTGATTTATAAAGGTGTCAGTGGAAGAGAACAACGTAACACGAAACAGTTACAAGGCCTCAGCTCAAGCTTTGGCTGCATGTAGCATTAAGTGACAATGCATTTGTCGTGGAATTTGTGGCTGCAGCTCATGGTAGTCAATGGTCTCTTCGTCACTATGTCGCTAGTGCACAGTCCGCACGTGTCCTTGCATGCTATTTGCTGCTGCCGATTAAGCCGAAAAGAGACACGGAACTGATGTCGCTTCTGGACAATCAGCACTTGCAGAGACTAGTAGGGATAAGACCGGGCTGCTGCTAATCGTGCTGAGCCACGTGGAGCTGCTGCGCATCTTATAGGAAGTTGGCAAAAAAATCCCATTGAAAACTCGTGGTCGATAGTAATCCTCGCTCAGAAACGCGATAAACTCTTGAGCCACGGTGCCGGGCAGGCTGCAAGAGGAGTAGGTTCGCGCTTACAAAGCGCTTCCAAGATTGTGGCGAGCACTCTTCGATGGTGTGGTTGTGCTTGCTCATAACGTACAAGCTAGGCAACGCTTCGTTAAGAATCATCCCTTGATGCTCGTATACAGACAGGTACGGGTTGCGTTGTATGTGGCCGAGCTGCATCACGTCGAGTAACCTAAGCTGCAATTCTTCAGTCCTAAAGGTAGCAAGTCACAGCTCATTGCTGACTACTGTCACTCGTGAGAGTCACCAGCAAGTCGTATGTGCGAACATCCTTGCCGTGGTCGAGCTTATTTTGTTTTAGCTGTCACGACCAGCTCTAACTGGTCAAGGATGCGATAATCGGCGTGCAGAACGAAGTTGGGGACGCTGCCAATGCTAGGTCAAGAGACGGTAGCACGACGCCATCGGCGCGATGCTTAAAGTGTACTTATACCAGCAGACATCATAGAAATGGTAAACGAAAGCGTTTGTCGGAACAACGTCAAAGCAGATTAATTTATGAAGTGCTGCGTGGTGTAATTAACTGTTGTGTGCATGTTTGCTGAGATACGGGGCGAAAAAGGCGTATGTGAAGGAGTAAAGCAGACGATTTTGCTAGTTAATGATGCGTGTTCTATGCGGTGTAATCATCAGACTGTTGAGATCGACTAGTGTGCTGGATGCAGAGATAACGCAGGTAAATCGTCTGTGAAGTATCAAAGTATCATGGCTTACTTATGGCAAGTGGACGAAATGCGTGTCTACAACAGAGCTTATTTCCGGCCGTCATTGAATCTCCAGGTGATAGCAAGTCGGACATCTCAGCGTCTCGTTTAGTACGGGCACAATGCACTCGTCGTGGAACTGGTGGCCGCATTGTAGCGTTATAGCATAGGCTGAAGACCGACGGCGTCTACTGGCGTTCAAAAGGCTGACATGACTATCGCCTTTGACCCGACAAGCCACAGGTCCATTGCAGACGCCGCAGATGATGAAACCACTTTGTTGTCCGGGTTTATTATTCAAGATACTGCCAGCGAGCTCCTCGTCGCCATGCAAGACTCCCACACTCCTGTGTTGGCTATGGTTCTTCGAAGACGTTGCCTTTGACTTGTACTTGACGATGTACTGCGCCACGGCGTCTTTGCCGTAGAGAAACTCGGCAAACAGCTTGGCTACGTCATTGATAGCGATGTTGCAGGCGTAGTTTTTCTTATTCAGCAAAAAGTCGAGCGTGGACGTAAGCAACAGCAGCAGCTTCTCTCGTCTCGCTTGGACTGTCCTGGAACTGGAACTTCGCTGGAAAATGTGTTTTCTGGGAAATCTGGTCGAGAGAAACGAGTAGAGCCACGGACAGGCAGCATTGCAGAAGTGACCGTGTTGCAAAGTCAATAGCAGTTGCTGGTGCAGCATCTCGAACGCTTCAAATGGGAGAAAAAGGCTCCAGGAAGCGTTTAGGACACTGGAAATGCTGCGTCGCTGGACGTGTAGAATGAAGAGCGAGTGCTTCTTGTCTCGAGTTGAGGATTGCAGTGTCAATTGTAATGGCTCCAGAAGCCCCACATACATTGTCATCGCCGGACAAATGGAATTGGAATGCTTGCGCACTCGACGAGATGTGACCATGGCGCTAAAAGATTGAAAGTAACATCTCACTCACATTGTCAATGAAAGAGTTATTCACCCTAAATAGGAATATATCCGCTGGAAATGGCAGTGGATAATGGATACATGTTTTGCCCTCGTGCGACATTCGGCGTTGGCATCTTCATTTGGACGGAGTAATCGCTTCATGTCGCAGTGGTTTGACGTGATTCAAATCAATAAATTTCAAAAACCTAAAGTTTTGTTGTGTGTTTGTTAGTAAAAGTTCTCTCACTACTCATAATTGACATCTGCTATATAGTGTACACTTTCCAAGACTATGGTTTGATGTTATTGTGAGTGCGACATACCACATGTCGGCTATGGCAAGCGTCGCACTCGCGCTCTTCCTCTTCCTCTTCGTCCTCCGACTCGCTGTCGTCGTCTGAAACCAGCGAGTCCAACGAGTCACGTGTGACGGCGCTGAGCTCAGACGAGTCGGCAAGCGTGGCGTTAGCCTCCAAGTCTTTCATTCCCTTGACCACAAAGCGGTTGAACTCGGCCGCCACGTCGTGTACGAGTACGCGGCAGCTGTGGTTGCCTCTGTTCACAAGTGAGGCCTGCACAGTGGTAAGGCAACGAATGAGCGTCTGTTGCCTGGTCGCCACGACCTTGGGGCAGTTGTTGGAGAACAGAGATTTGTGAGGAAAGTAGTGCTTAGCGACCTTATAAAGCCACTTGCACTCAGCGTTGCAAGAGTGACCATGCTGCAACCGCTTCAAAAGTCGTTTCTGAAAACTTCTGTACTCGTCAAAGCTTCGACTCACGGTCCACGTCGCGCAGGACGCGAGTTTCTGCCGGCTGGGCCTGTACTGCATATTTAGTTGGTACTGCGTTTTGCCGCAGCTGCTGCTTGTTGTGAGCTCCAGCGTGAGATGATCCAGCCACGCTACGGCCTCAGGCACGGCCATCGGGCCTGCGCGTTTGAGACTAGCGGCTGACCTCGGTGCCGAGCCACTGTTGTTGCTGCTGTTACTGCTTGTACTTGCATTGCAGCTCGAGTTCTCTATCATCGTGCCTACCATGGCTTGATTGGTTCCCTGTGTCCTAAATGAAATTGTTCTTTGTATTAACTTTTGTTTTGATTTTTTTTAAGTGAAACGAAGATCCTTCCGCACTTTTCTGCAGTTTTGTACCTTTAATGAACGTTCTACTGTATATCGGCTAGGCAAAGTTGCAGAATGACCCAGCTCTACTGACCGTTGAATTGAGGTTTAACTGGCGATTGGACAATATGAGTAACGACCGACGCGTAGCTAACAAAACTTGCCCTTTGTATAGATGCATCCAGAAGAAGCTTCAAAAGTAACCCACCGCTTGCTTTTATCGTCTATATCAAGTCTTCTACATCCACGTATCGTAGGAGAAGAACAGGCACGTTTTTGAGCAATCGTCGTTACCGAGTCCAGTCATCCATCACCCTTGTGAATTGCATTAATATGGCTCTTTTTAACCGTTGTACGGACGGACGACGTCTCGTTGCTGCCCAGAGTACACATGCACGTTCGTCGACGAGTCGGCAAGAGGCGGTACCCCGACTTGCCGTAGAAACTAACGGCTGGCTCGCAACGACGACACCTCCTCTCCATTTTGGAGTCAAAACACAGCAGCTCCAAATCTTTGGTCCCATGTTGTGGCCTTGCTAGCATAGTGTCGCCATCCTCTCCCCTACGGATCTAAGCAAACCATCATATGACTTCCAACGCTTCAAGTGTGTTCTTTGCGCGGCCGCATTCACTTATCAGACGATACAATGCCGTCGAAACTTCAATGCTAGAGTTTGAGCAGGCATCTACACCAAAATCCATCCAGTACGCACCACCATGTGCTATATACATGCATGCATCATATTGTTATATAAAACATCCAGCGTTGCCCTACATCCGTCCATCTGAAGATACCTCAGATAAAATCCAGGACAACAAATATCGTCACGCTGTTGTATAAGTTACATATTATTAGCGGTGTTCTATATACTTGGCTTATACAGGTGAGTTTAGGATGAGCTCAAAGTTAAGGTGCTCGATAGGCAGACTCCAGCCGGTAAACGTGTCCGCGTCGTAGTTGACGGTGTCTTCCTCGACCTCTTCAGACGTAACGGAAGACGTGAGCGACGGTCGTAACTCGGCGGACGTTTCCATCTCGGAACTTGTCGTCGGCGTTACAGGAGGCGTCACGCCAACGAAACTCTGGTCGACGTCGCCCACGAGAAATGAGGAGAGCTCGTGACTCACGGCTTCCAACATTACCTTGCAATTACGATTGCCGTGGTTGACAACTGACGCCTGCACAGTAGTCAACAGTTGCAGCAACGCCTTGCGACGCTGTTCGACAATCGGAGGATAGCGCGAGCCGAGCGTCGGCTTAGGAAAATGCTTCTTGATAGCGCTGCTGAGCCATCGGCACTCGGCCTTGCAACTGTGTTTGGGCTGGAGATGGCCCAGCAGACGCTTCTGAAACCACTTGTACTCATCAAACGTGCGCTTCACGTCCCAGTTCGTGGCGGCCATGCCCACGGGCTCGTAGATGACGCGAATAATGTAGTACACGGAGGTGCGAATTGAGTTGGTAGTAGTCATTTCGAGCTTAATGTCTTTGAGCCACGCCACCTCTTCCGGCAGAGGCTTCACGGCCGGAGACGACCGCTTGCGCGACGCAAACGAGTTGTATACCGATCGTGGTGGGGCAGCTACAGTTGTAGGGGACGCCATTACGTGATGAAGCGAGTTCTGAAATGAATCGCCGATGTAACTAGGCAAAAAGCGGTCTCGGCTCTGGCATGCGATTTAACTGCTGGCGCGAACCAATTTGACAATATGACAATTGTAATTGCTCTGCACAGTCTCGTTCCACGAAATCGGATAACGTTGCCCAGTCGAATTTTCGTAGTAGCCGCGTTGACGTTCAAGCGTGGCCTGAACTACTGGGCAGCGGCAAATCCATCAAATGCTTCAGATGCGTAGCTTGTTCACCCCACCTGAATGCGAAGGTTGCCCACGGGAAAGACTGGCATCCTGTAGGTTCGTTCTGCCAACAATGCAAAATCCATGACAGCACGCGCGACATTCCCTCCTTTACATGAGCCGGGTGCTTGTCGTCTGACTATTGAGGTAGATGCTGATGCAGTAAGAAAACATTCCAGTAGCCTATGTGTAGTAATCCGCTTTTAAAAGCGACGATTATGGCTTGTGCATTCACCTGATCTGAATGCGTCGTCACGCACCGTAAGCTTATACAATATAGTACCCCCCCCCCCCCCCCCCCCCCCCCCCCCGGGGAAACCCCCCCCCCTTCCCCCCCCCCCCCCGGGGGGGCCCCCCCCGGGGGGGGGGGGCCGCTTAGGTCTCTCTTGGCCGTTGTTCCAGGCCAGCTACATAGTATGTACTGCACTGTACAACATGTCGCCATGCGTGCCGTTAACGATTTGGTTCGTCAAGCTGCTTTTTGCACCGCGATCAGCTTATTAGGAATTGCTGCAACTGTTTGCGAAGGTTGGAGCACGAGCCTACGTCGCGGATTGTAAAATGTGCATTGCTTATAAACAAGGCTCTTGCATTTGTTTTATGGAGACGGTATATTGGAGCTACTCTGCCCGAATGTTTCCTTGGTTCGACACGCGAGAGAACACGACGCCTCTTTTCTCAAACACATTTTACGGCAACGAAGCGGAAGCGGTGTACGTCCATAGAACGCCAAGAAAAGCGAGTAATTCTCGCATTACCACGTAGCAGCCGGGGATCACAACGGTGGCATGAATCTCGTGATACTGCTCGAAGCAGCTGTTATCACCTACTCTCTCTTGAACCAACACGGAAATGGAACCTCTTGCATTGTTTCAGCTCTGCGGAGCAATTGTGCCTTAGCTGCAGGTTACGCAGCAGTCCCCTGCGTAGCGATCTGAGACGTTGGAAGCACAAATAATTCGAATCGGACGTTTTTTGTTTCGTTTGGATTACAAACATAAGGTTTCGACGACCTAATGCTTGGCAGTCGCGTGAGCAACAGATATTTGGTACTTCTTGAGAGACAGAAGACACCTTCAGCTGAGGAGGAGCACTCATCGAGCGTAGATCTTGTATATTGGCAGCAATAACGACGATGAATGAGCCACGCTTCCGCTGCAAACTGGTAGATAACATGTCCAGTTGCAAGCACAAAAAAGCCGTTCAAGGGTTTGCCACGTTCACATGTTATAGAGCAAGGCGAAATACACGTCGCTGTGCATCACTTTCCAATTTAGGCACGCCTTCTCTCCGCTGCATCAGAAGATCAGGGGATTTCCTTACAGACATATGTTAAACAGTCAAAAGGATTCAATAGATGGAGAGACGCTCCGCTCCATCCACGCCACGCTGTCAGGCAATGCCAACGAGGCTGTCGGCTATAATGAGTGTCATGGGCATTTTGTGTAACGAAGATCAAGCCTTTCGCCAAAAGGCTATCGTCTTATATAAAGACGTGGCAGATCTGAAAAAACATCTCCGACAGATTCGAGAAAGCAGATTCATTGTCAAAAGCCACCTAGGCCATTTGATTCGCTACATCGTGTCCATTACTCACTTTGTAGTGGGAATGTGCCAAAGTTTCAAATTAAGCGGCAAGACTGCAACTTTGCGCGTCATGCTATGCAACCTTATTATATGTTCTAGACATGGTCGCAGTTCGTGTTTACCGATGGTCATTGATGTTTACCTCGTCTGTGGAACGCAAGCGCACTTGCATTAAATGCAATTACTAACTTTACATTTGAAGATCACGTTTATAGTCTTTCACGTACAGCGCGCCTTTTCGTCAAGGATTTTCAAACACATCAAAAGTATTTCAAGCCAGAGGTTGTCTGACATCGAATGAAGATCTGGTGGTGCCGTTGGAATCTGATCGTATATTTAAAACGTTCTTTTGTCATTCCAAGCCCAACAGCTACACTCTTGGCTTTTGCACTGTTTAAATGAGCTGACATTCCATCTTACACTGTTGCTCTTTCTTCCACTATCCAAGTAAGCTGACATTCCATCTTTTCTCGTTCTGGCCAGTTTTGTCCTTCCATTCAATGCGTGGCAGGCAGCTTGAAGCCCCACACTTGCTTTCCTGATGAATGGGTTTCCTCCATGACATCCAATGCAATGGAACTCTACGCGTACTTACAGGTATTCATGGTCCATCTGAAGCAAACTTGCCTTTAACTTCTCGCCACAGAGCAAGTATATGGTGCGCTACATCCTGTCGGCAGCGCACCGGCCTTCGAGATGGTGCTAAGCCGCCGTCGTCGACAACAGTCGTGTGAATGGATCCACAGCCTTATAATCGGCTGCTTGCCGAAGCCACGTCTCTTGAGCTCGGTGTTTCCAGACCGACTCGTTCAAAAACACTGCGAGAAGCTCGTGTATCACATCAGACGCTGTAGAGTATTCTGCAGAGCAGATCAGCCGCTCACGTCGCATGCCGACAGAAGCAATGACACCCAGACTTAGTGGTAACGCAGCAGCTGTTACCCACTGCATTGTACCAGATGCTTTGTGCGCACGAGGCTGACGGCGTCGCGACATTGCCGAGTTTCAGGCGGTCATAATCCACTTCACGTCAGACTGATATCTCAACTGCTGTTGGAGCTGCATCTTACCGTTAAAACTTGCCTATTGTGTGATGAAAACAGGTGAAGCCTTCAGTACTACTACGTGATGTAAATACGCTGCCGGGACCACTTCCAACACGAGCTACCAACTTACACATCAATCGGTGACAACTTTGCCACTTGGTTTAATAGTTGGTATGCCCATTATTTTTGTATGAATTTATCTCTCTGACCGACCTTCAGCATGAGCAAAGCTTTATATTTAGACACAGGAGCTAGAAACGAGATCACTTTAGTACATTGTAAGGCTATGCCTTTGTCCGAAAGTATGACCGTGACGCCTGACTCGTCGAGCATGTATACAAACAAACAGCCAAGTCTTCTCAGTTGTTGGAGCTAGAACGAGCATGACGAAACCCCAACTTACAATCTCGTCGCTAGCAGCATCAATTTCTCGTGCAAACTGCAGTTCTCATTGGCTCAGATGAATCTTGTACGAGGCAGATTCATAAGGCTGCGAGTATTCACATCACACGCCCTGCCGGGAGTATCGAGTGGCGTTATACCTATTATAAAAATGCACATACTCCTTGAAGTCTGAGAAAGAAAAACTGCTGTGAAGACACAGCTTACGTGGCCATTTAGTCGTCCTTTCAGCGTCCTATAGTAACAACAACAAGCCGAGGAATAACACTTACGATAGCTGTGCGCGCTCGTGAGCAACTTCATAGTCAACAAACGGGCCATCTGCAACGGCGCCAGGAAGCTTGCTCTCTAGCCCAATCTTCATATGGCTCCAGCATACCGTGCTTACGAGCCCAGATTGATATAGGTCGCGCAGATACTGCAGAAAACACCACAGCAACCTCTCTTGTCAGCTCAAAGCACAAGAATTTCCAACCACATCCACAAAACTTTAAACTCACCACAATGACATTTGGGAAATCTTCCAAGATCTTCTTGTCATCCTTCGACTGATAGACATCCAGACGGATGAGCGTGTGGAAGAGATACACATCAGCTTCCGTGATTCCCTTGCTTAGTAGATACCGCTGCTTCCCTAGCAGTCCCTCTAATCTATGAAGAGCCGCCAATACCTTTTCTTGTGCTTCAGCCTCCGCAGCACCATCTGATGTGGGGTTGAACACTTTTTGATAGAATCCCATGGTCACTTCTGTAATAATTCCTGAATTGGCAGCATCGATCTCGGCACGCAACTCCTTGGGGTACAAGTTTACACTGGACGGCACCAAATCACGAAAAGCCGAGTTCAAAATACGCAGAATACTACGAGATTCTTCCGATACGATCGTGCTCTTCTTCTTGTCCCAAAGAACTGGTACTGTAAAAGTGCGAGGGGCGGGATCGACCATCTCGTACAAGTCTCGCACGAACTTGACGTGATTCACAGTGTCCGGGATACAGCCGTCGGTGGGGTACGTCTTGCCATTGAAGGCCGTCATAGTCGATGACGTCGAAGGGTCAACAAAGGCCCAACCCTTGTGGTCGTCATTGGCGTCATTTGGCTTGGTCTTTTGAAAAACGGGGTGTACCACCGACAGACTAATGACGTCTTCAAGTCCGAGGAGATTACGGGCTGCGAGTGCACGGCAGGCATATGGACATGAATAAGACACGTAGAGATGGTAACGACCCTTTTCAGCCGGAAATTCGGCGTCGGCGTGGGGCTCGATATTAAAATCGTACTTGAAAGGAGTAGCCATTTACGAAAAGGAGCTTTACAATAGGTCTGCCAGTAGCTCGCTTTTTATGATTTGCGAAATCATTTGTCAAGAATGATCGTTTTAAGGATGATGCATCCAAAGCATTTCTAAATTCGAATTAAAAAATGAAAGCTGAATATATTACTCACTCAAGCTTTATTGCTATATATAGAAAATACTACTATTTCAGAATAATACTTTACCTTGATTAAAAAAACGGGTAGCTTTGCATCTTCTGCCTTATCTGCAAAGTTCCGTCATCGAGCGGCGAATCGTAAAAAGCTCTATACGCTGGACTCTGCTTTTCTTCAATAAGATTACTCACAGCTCTGTCCAGATCTCCGATCCGGTCTTCTTTTCGTTAATCTGCTTAATTTTTTTAAGCCCAATAACAAGCACTTTACTTTACAATAAATATGTTTGTGCTTACTGTAAATTCATCCTGTTTTTGGCAGTGGCAGCAAGTTCTTCCAAGTCATATATGCAGAGTATACCAGGCGACACACTAAGCTGCGTCTGATTTTATCTTACAATGGGTACACTCTGTCGAGGAAACTTGGCATCGTTATCGACGCGGGCCCAAGGTGTCAAAATGTGTGCAAAGTTGACCTACCGTAAAGTTGATTTTCGCAGAATATTGCGCCATGGACAGAGGCAACAATGTCTTTCAGGCTTGTAACATTGTAGACAACCGGTTAACTGGCAAATATGCACAAATACGTTATGTAAAGATAAAAGCAACACGTTCGGCGAGGAACTGCGCATCAGCGCACCTTCGGTGACGGCTTTCGGGGTTGTCTGGCTATGGCGCGTTGACATAGCGTCAGACGGATTTTCTTAAGTTTTCATGTCGGCTCGTCGGCACTCTTGCTTTGTGACGGCTCGATTTTACTTCGTGCTGGTTTCTTTCAATTTCTGAATGCAACCGGCGATGGTCACGTCCGCTTGCTGGAACGTTACTCAGCTGCGTTGTATCTACGAGATGGTGATGAAAATGCTGCGTAGGCGCTCATACACGGCATCCTATGCGGCCACCTCGTCTGAGTGGTCACGGGTAAGCTTTTCCTGAACTACATTGGATAGCCCTGACGCGCGTCTGCTTGCACTATTTGCAAGAAAGCTTTGGAGTCGTCCAAGCTTTTATCGTTCTCCAGTCCAATGGCATATGAGATTCTACCAGCAGCCTTGCGCGCACGGATATATCATACGTCATGATAGCGACAGTAACAAAACCAGTTGGCCAAGATGAGTGTAAGATGAATGTGTGAAGACATCATCGGAGATGTGTGGCAGACGCTCCACTTCACGGTCCGACCGCAATCAGTCTGTTGGACGGAAGACAACACTATAGCAACAATGAACACTAAGCGCGCAATTTTGGCATTGGGGAGGCGCTGCGATGACGCTGCGTGAGATCACAGGAGAAACAATGAGGAAGTATCCGCCTTTGACGAGGTTTGCAACGACGCATTATGGTAAGTATGATGGCAGTCATACCCAGCAACTTGTGAACTGTTACAGTTACAGTTACTCAGCTATGGAAATCCGTTACCTACTCCACGTCAGATGTGTAGGACCAACTAGTTAATTATATTGTTACTACTCCATGTAGTTGTGGCTCTGCTATAAAGCATCTAACAAAAATGTTCCCACGCGCATCATTCGACAACAAGCAAATAGAAAGTGTGTACTGCTCATTCAGCTTGGCTGGATCGCAGGATGGACTTAACAGATATTGCGGCCCATAGCTAAGTCCACAGCTTTCTGACGTTATGCTTATTAGGATCAACTCGTCTAGTTGCTACCCTTGCATCTCCATCAGACCCCACTCGCACACACATCTTGCTGTGATAGGCGCACGCGCTGTTGACCAATTCAGTATTTCAGCGCACAACCAAGTTCACAGCTTCAGCTCATTACTTCTTCCCGATGCTTTTGTGGTAGAGCATGCGGTAAGCCATCACCAAAAGCCTCCTATCCCAACCTCATTCGCTCAGCATATCCGTTTTGATAAGGCGCATACGGCACTGCCTTCACGTGCTTGATGCCGCTGCGTTGCGGAACCCTGTCGACATGTACATTCGCCACCGTTGTCAGAAGCAGGCGTTTGATCGTCATTTGTCGAATCTATCAGTGCTAATTCGATGATCTTGAACTTTTGTACACACCTTTGACTTTGTTCGCATTGAGTCGTGGCAAGAGCAAACCCGGTGGATATACCGCCGCGGTGGCTTCGATCAATGTCACCGCGGCGGTACATCCACCGGGTGTTTTGGTCTGTATCGGACCCACAACGTTCGTGTGGTACCAGGTCCATTATGGTCGGCACTCTTATACAATTCTCCGGGGTAAGTCGTCGGCGCTCGACTTCTCCATGCAGCAGCCTGCGCATCAGGGATAAATGATCGCATTTTTCTACCATGGTCACTAATTTCACGTAAAACTTTAACAAAATGTGGCCCAGGCGTGCGTGCAACACTGCTCACGGTATCTTACGAAGGTGGCGTTGCAACATTCCACATCTAGCCCCCACTATCTTCAGCTTTTCGATGTTTTTAGGTTTCTTGGCCCTTCGCAACTTGGCAAAACCACAGTGGAACAGACTTGTTTTACCAATATATGAGAGACCGAAGGAGCAGCGCTTAGTCCCTCGGACGGCATATAACGAAGGCGGCTTTGCCGCAGGAAAAACTTAAGTAGAAGTATATCAGCAGAAGCGCCATATACTGCATCTGAGACGGCAGCAGCTTTTTAATGTATTGTGGGTACCACAGTGGCAGCAACTGTATCAAACCCAATTGCAGACATGGTATCGAACGAATAGGACGCTTGAAATCCTAGTGAATGATAGAAATTATGACGTTCTATTATAAAACTTTGCCACTGAAGACTATGACGCCAGCAGACGAGTTTAATGGTAGGCAATTATATTGACAGTAATTCTGTACCAAGCTGCACGCAGCCCAACTTCAAGACATGGCCGTTGCAATACCTCTCAAAGATCAGAAGTTTCGTCACCTTGGAGGCATGGATAGAAAAACAACACGATAACGTTTTGTTTGGTAAGATGTGCCAATAAAATAATCGTACTGTCTGCTGTTACGCTATCAACCACCGTAAGTGCCACCGGGCAACATATAGGGGCGCTGTGATAAGCGGCGCATGGTCGCTGTCTGGTGCTTGAGCAGGTAGCAAACGGCAGCGCGCGTTACGCCAAACTCCTTGGCCAGATGGGACTGCTTCTCCCCGGCATTCACGCGGCGCACGATCTCGCAGCGTTCTCGCTCCTTGAGGTATTTCTTCTTGCCACGCTTGCCGGTCGAGGAGCTGGTGGTCAAAGGCAACTGCGGCAAAACGTTAAGACCCACGTCAGTTAGCGGCCGCTTGAAATTCGTGCGGCGACTTGACACCACTTTCACGCTGTTTCTTTCGGAGTTGAGGCTGGATACCGGCGAATTGCTGTTGCAAGAGCTATTGTAGTTGTAGTGCATACCGCTGGTTGTATTGGTTAGGTGCCTGCCGTAAATTGAGCACTTGGGGCTATGCGGGCGCTGCAGCAGAAACGAAGGTCGCTGCGGCGTGGCCGAGTTCTCCAGGAAGGTTTGGAAGCTGGGCAAAACAGTCATGGTCATGGTGGCGGTGGGGCGTTGTGGTGATTATTAGTATTGCACACGAGGTAATTAGGAGTTGTTCAATTCGGAAATGAGCTGAGGTATCGTTTGCTACATTCCGCGTGTTTAACTCCTCGTGATGCTAATGTGCGCCATCGGCGCGGCGACAGAGATATGCATGCCGGCTGGGTTGTGCTTTCCGTTAAATCATATTGGAGCGAGCGAACGCAACCCCATGTTGCAGTTAGAAGTGTCGCTTCCATACCGTAGGCTTATCTTACCTATTTCGTATCCTCAATTTGCGATCCAAGCAAATCAAGGCTGCTGGCCACCGGCGGCCGGGATGAGTCCGGAACATTTTGGGCTTCTGCTGCAAGGCAGATAAATAGAAGACTACATTGTGTTGAGTATCAGCTATTTCTTCTTTCAAAAGTTCTGACAAGGGTCTAAATCCGTGTCCTATATTGACTCGGTCTCTCAGCTTTTCTTTAGGGCACAGTATAAAACGCGAAGGCTTGCAGCTCCGTACAGCGAATCTGCTACACGATGCTAAATGGTACGATGAAATTCCACTGTTGCGGTTGAAGTGTCTCGACAAGGCGTTTTAATGAAGGTTAAGGTTCAAGCCATCGGAACCCAAACGCCAGAAATGAGGCCGTGTTAAGAACAGCTTGACCATCCGCTGTAGTGTTTGGCGATCGACCAGTCGAAAAACGTACACGTCCCGGCTGCTAATGTTTAGGCTCAGGAAAGGTTGCGCATCAATCGACAATGATACGCAGGTGATTTCATATTACATAAGCATTTCTTTGTGCTCCTATAGCCGGGCGCGTGACTCTGACGCATGATTGCTTCCTATGCGCTGCAATCGTGGCGGTGGTGGTCGACGATTAATTTGTAGAAGACCAATTTGGGCATCCTGGAAATCCCGATCGGTTTAGCGTAAGCGCAATTGCAGCAGGACACAACAAATTCTGAACGGTGAAAGTGGCCAATCGTGCCGGGTATGGATACTACCTCAGCCAGGCCATTTACCGTCTCAGATTTTTTTCTGCCAATTTCTTCACACCTGTGTCTGTAGCATCTGCGCCTTAATCTTACTCAAGCAGCGTACCTCCACTTTCTTCTCTTGTACTTTCATACATAAAGTGAAATACCATTTTTTCAGTCTGGAGCTGCACAACAGCTTTCTCGGGTCGTCGGTCGATCTTGTTCGTCAATCTCCCTTTTCAGCATCAATAATGTATCCATCTCGCTTACGTCCCGGGCCGAAGATGTAGCTTGGCCTGCGCCAAGTTTTCACCCTTGCTGGCGGTCCTAGTTGCGATGGGACATCAGCAAAAGCAATATTGATGCTGATCTGTCGGGCCCTCGATTGTCTTCGAAGGGGTATCAATTGTGTTATTATGGCTGCTTGTCGTGTACGTATGTTCGTCATATCATCTTAGTCCGAGCTTTAAATTGCGCTAGCAGACGCTTTCAAATCAAGGCAAATCGAGCGGAGAAGTGCTTCGCCGTCGGAGCTGATTAGAGCCCGCGGAACAAAAAGAGGTTTGTAATTGCTACAGCAGGTTACCACGTTTTGACGAATGCTTTGCCCGGTGCACGGTTTTCTCACGCCACCGCCGAATTGAGTCGCAATACTCCTCGCTCTATAAAACCTTCTCAAAAATGCGACCGAAATGAAGCAGGCCTCATTTGCTCGCTCGCTCGGTTTATGCGCTTCGGTTCTGCAGGATACTTTGCAGAACCGAAGCGCATGTAAAAGCGTTTGGCGTACACAATGTATGTATCTGGACGTACAAGTATCTCGTCGTCACCAATAAAAATGTCTTCGAGCGAGAAAAAGACATGATACCCCTCTTGCGCGACTTGTTCATCCTGAAAACTAGATTCAATCGATGGTTTCGCTTCGCTTGATACGAGAGATTTTGTGAGACTTGCGCGAAAGTCTGTTCGCGCAATTTCTATAACGGCCAATCGCTTAAGAAGCCTACTCTATGAACGTCTGCGGTCGTTGAAATCTCATGAGACGACACACGCAGGAATTGTAGGTACGTTGAAATACGCGAGATATGCTTGTGCTGTACGCGCGGCGTGAACTTACTCCCAGATAAAGTGAAAGTCGTGCTGGCTCCCGCCTGGCAATAAGCTAGCAGAAGCCATTGTATATGCTCGAGGCCCCATCTATAACATCGGATGCCACCTTTGGCCAACAGCATTTGGTCACAGTGAAAAGTTGTTCCCCACTAAAAGCCGTATCTGTACATTCTCTTCTTGTCAGACTAGCATTAGGTCTCTTGCAACGGCGTCGATTCAAATCGGTCAATACAAGAAACAATGTTGTCCTATTAGATACCTACCAGATTACTTGTGCTTGACGGCAGCGCTCAGATCCATGTCCTCATCTTCATCCTCGTCTGAGCTCTGCACCACCTTCTTTTTTCTTCCTTTCCTGTTAGATATCTTTTTCATAGGTTTAGCGCTCGGCTTCGCCTGAACAGGTTCCTCCGGATTTGATGCCGTACCAAACTCGCTCTGAAGTACACCTCCCTCTTCTTCACTGTCGCTATCACTATCCGCCAAAACTTGTTTTTTTGCAGGTTGAACAAGCTTTGCCTGCTCCTTCTTGTTACCATTAATCAGATTGCGCACCGTCTCGCTGCTCGCCAATTGCCAAAACTCATCGCGAGCTGCGTCAGTCATTGCAAGTCCCGCCTTCGGCTCCTCCTCGGCGAGGTTGGCAGCAGTGTCAAGTGACTCCAGCAATTCTGCCATGGACGTCACCTGCTGAGCAGTTTCCTCCTTTGACAAGCCGTCACGTAGTGCAATCGGAGCATGCAGCGTCGAGAAGTCAGTCATAGCGCCCAAATCAACCTTTTCGGCCATTTTCATAGTGCTAGCTTCGTCCAGCGTCGAAGATACGTCGGTGAACGCGCGACCTCGAAGCAATGCGCGGCGGCGCTGCACCGCCTCTTTGTCTGCTTTCTCTTCCTCCTCCTTGAGAAACGTCGTCAACTCAACAACACGTGCCGCTGCCACATTCGCGCACCTTAGTACACAAGTCGGAGAAATAGCGGCACCACCAATTTTGTGCACCGTGCAAAGCTCACGGAAGGAGTTAAAAGTAAAGCTCATACGCGCGTCCGTGATACGCTCTTCACGATCCGTCGGGTCCATGAAGATCACAGGGTCGCCATCTTCATATGCATCGACATCGGCATCGTTCCGATTCGACCCATAGATTTTAGCAGCTGGCTGCAGGAAGCAGAACGAGATAGAAATGGGGATGTGATGAAGACTCAAGGGGACTGCAGCGTATTCGTCCACGCTGTAGACGGTGACGCCTCCAATGCCACCCGTGCCCTCCTTCACTGCAACCTCTGGTCGCCGATAGTGCATGAGAGCCGCAATTGCAGCCAATGAAGCAGCATCTACAAGGTTACCGCCGTGATCGACTACGTGCACGTGGCATGTGATGGCCCAAACCTTCTCACCAGCAACCACAGCAAGCGCTTCCGTATCGAGTGCACGACTTTCACGAACACCACGCTCGACAAGTCGAGCCAGTTCCGCAGCTACGACCGAAGAGGCAGCACCACGACTAGCAGATGACGATGCTTCAAAACTAGGCGATGCCATTGGTGATAGTTCCACAGAAAAGTGAAGAAAGCCTTCGGTCGGGCGATCCGGAAAGGGTGGCACAATCTCTCCATGTACATTACCGATCACACTAAGAAGTAGCAATAACAACAACATTCAAATCAAATATTAATACAAATAAAGCATAACGAGTGCACCTTCGTCGAATGAAATTGCTTGCCGTACCGTGTACGACCCAATTGCACTTCGGCTTGGCTCTCGCTCTCACTCCGGCGAAACTGTACACGGATCTTGCGTTGCTGTAAAAGTTCACGACCATCAGCTCGCACATGTGGCGATTGACGCAGACAATTGGCCAGGAACTGACGTTCATTCTCGCTCAGGAAATCGTGGTCGTCCCGCAACGCCATCGTAAGTCCGTGGTTTCTCTCTATTGCTGGTGGTCGCTGCTTACAATGTAATGGTCATTGATTGGTCAATTTTCAGTTAAAATAAATCGCGATGGACGGATACCGGCAGACGCTACTGGGACGAGCGCTGGCTGACGCGCTGCGTGAGCTGGAGAAGGAACAAGAAGAAGGAGACACAGATGCTGATGGTCTGAATATTGATGGAGATTATGTGTTTGTATTGTTTGATGAAGCCATGCGAGCAGAGCTACGTGATAGAAACAATAGCCAAGAGGAACAAGCTCAGACATTTACGCACGAGACTTTGGAGCTAACGGGACAGATCACAGCATTCAATCGATTCATGGAAGACTGGAGCTTACGGGCATGTGCGAATGCGTGTGATATAAAGCTGAATAACTGCGTTGCTGGTCTACATATGCCACAGCAGGGACAGGAAGTGGCCATTCGGCTAAAGTTACGACAGAGAACATGAGTACCGACCTTCATAGATAGTTGCTTGAGAATTTCTATTGATGAGTCTGGAGTATGATAACAAGAAACACGGTCGAAAAAAAAAACTGTGATGACTCTAGAACGACGAGTACGCACTTGCATGAAAGATAACAATCCAAGCAGTCTCGCGAAGGCAAGACATAGAACACAAGCATTGCCAATATTCATACTCACACTGTGACACACCCAAGGACATTGACAGTCGACCGATGGCCCAATGTACGCAGGTCTTACCTTCTGATGTAAGAAAGACTATTTCTAGGTCTACATGTATATTGCTCTTCAGCGAGTAGTATGTAACTGCGTTGCTAGCTTTTTTTACAGCCGCCTTCAGATGCATCAATTGCAGTCGATGCGGACAGAGGTTTCTGTATAGATCGACACAGGAGACACTCACTAGCCTGGTTTTACTGACAGTCGATTAATCTGGGATATTTTGAGTTTTCAAATTGGTTCTAAATTTGCACCATGTTTCTTAAGTAGTGTCTAGTGTTGTACTTATTCGCTACTTAATAACCACTTATCAGCGTTTAAGCGTGACCTCACATTCATCCCCCTCGAATTGAGATCACTCGCCCCCAATAAAGCGCAAAAAGGTGAAACGATGGAAGCGTAGGCTCTCAGTTGAAACTTCTACCAAACTAACACGTTGTATGTGCCCTTTACTATTGATAGAATGCTGTCCTCGACGTTGAAGAAATCAGTTGGCAAAGCTGCCTCATCGACTCCCACGCTGAAGCGGGGCATGGCGGCTGCTGCTGCCTCTTCTACAAAGGAGGTGGAGGAAATTGGCAGCTTTGGCCAAATGACGCAGCCCAAGCTGCAGCTTTTTGGCTTGCATGCCCGTTATGCCAATGCTCTTTATAGTGTGGCTGCCAAACAGAATCAGCTGGAAGCTGTAGAGAAGGAGCTTAAGACTATTGAAGAGACCATTGCCAAGGAGCCGAACTTTGCCTCGTTCTTACACGACCCCACGATTGCCCGTGCTTCTAAAAAAGAGGACATTGCCAAGGTCATGGAGCAGGCCAAGTTTTCCAAGCCTGTGGCTGGCCTTTTTGAGGTACTTGCAGACAACGGCCGTCTGCCAGATGTCGCGGGCGTCATCTCCGCCTACAAGAAGCTCATGGGTGCCTACCGCGGTGAAGTTCAGGCCAAGGTCACGTCGGCTGACCCGCTGACCAAACCACAGCTAGACCAGGTCAAGAAGGCTCTTGCTGCCCGTGTGGAGAAGAACGAGAAACTGCTGCTGGAGACGGTTGTGGACCCTGAAATTCTAGGTGGTCTTAAGGTGCAAATCGGCAACTACTTCATTGACCTGTCGCTTGCCACGAAGATTGACAAGATCAACACATTGCTTGCCAATTCAAGTCAGCAATAAGTAAGTTTTTCGAAGACATGCTGGGCCACGAGTGAATGCGGCGTAGCTATCAGTGGGACGTAGGGGCGTCCTCCTATCGGACATCTTTTCTTATCTCACATGTCTGTAACAACGGTGTTTCCTCATGTTCGTGGCGCGCGGCGGAAATAGCTCTGAAGCCAACGACTTAGTGAACCCTTAAACTGGAAACGAAAGGATTGTGCCTGTCGTTGGATTCCAATTGATGTTGGTATGTATATCTTGAAAAAGCTTAACAGTTGTCGCGCAGAGGCTGACAGATACATCACGTATCGTTGCAACGAGCTATGCTACTAAAAAGTGTACAAGGCAATCATATGTAACGCGGCTACTTCGTGTATATATGAAAACATTCTTAGCTAGCTAGCATCCGTGGCGTCACATGCCTAGCGTCCTGTCTCAATGCCTCGTCCTCCTCTGGCTTACACTGTCCTGATCCTCTCCTTCCTGTGTCGTGCTGCACTTTGGTCCTCTCTGTCGTTTTATCCTCGGGCGTTATGCTCACACCAATAGATAAACTAACAGCAGCCGCCCTTGGACGGCTTGTTTCCTGAGGCGTTTGCTTGACTCAAAATAACGGAGCTTTGGCTTCCGTAGCCGTACGAGCCCGATCCTACCGTACTTCCTGCTCTCGACCCATCGCGGCCTCGTGTCCGCTGCTCCTGGTCATGCTTCTTCAGCAGCTGCACCGCTAGGCTCTCAAACAATGACTGCACTCCTTCACCCGTCTTGGCGCTCGTGCGGAACACCAGAGCACCGATCTCGTCGGCGAGCTGCTGGGCCTTGGAAAAGTCAAATTTGGACGGAACGTCGCTCTTGTTGCCCACCACTGCTAGTACGATATCGTCACCCACATGATGTTGCAGGTCTGTAGTAGAGTAAAGTACAAACAGACACAAAAGTTAAGGAGTTGTGTCCATTTCTACAGACATATAACGAGTAAACGTCACACCTTGCAGCCACTCTTTGATTTTCTCAAAACTAGCTTCACTCTGTAAATCAAAGACCAAAATAGCTGCCTTTGCATTTCGATAATACATGGGCGCCATAGAGCGAAAGCGTTCCTGACCGGCCGTGTCCCAGATCTGCAGCGTCAGTTTCCTCCGGGTGCCAACGTCGTCTCCGACGATCACGCGCTTCTGTAGGAACGAAGCTCCAATAGTGGCGGATGTGGGCGTAGAGAAGCTATTGTGGCAGTAACGCATAGTGATGGATGTCTTGCCCACATCCGTGGGCCCAATGATAACCAGCTTGCGGTCGAGCCCCACGTCCTCCATTTGGAACAGGCCTTTTCAATTTGACACGGTAGTTTTATGTGGCATTGTATCAGAAACTAAAACATTTTTGTTTAAGAAGCATTGTTTTCGACTAGGTACGGTTGACTTCCATTTACTCAATCGCTGCCTAATCTAGGAACTAGGGGATGTGAAGAAAACCTTCGCATGCAGCAATTTGACTCCCTTTTGAGCGCAGATTGGCAGAGTGACTATCTTGTAAAATGACATGGTGAAATATGGATGATGAGACCAGGCACAATGATTCCCTGAGAAAGGAATTACGAGGTAATGTCGTCAGGTCGTTATGTTTACCGAGAGTATGGGAAGTTGTGGAAGTGGCACCCGTTAGTGTCGCTACCGTTGTAGAGGGGCACTTTTACGAAGTTGCCTCGTGCTACTTAGCACACACCTTCAGCACAAACGAGGAAGCGGCTAGACCGTCTTACCTTCGCGTGCGAGGGTGGTTATGAGGTTGGTCGACTGCTTAAGCAGTCGTACCACCAGTTGTCTCTCTTTTTAGCGAGAGTGCAACGAGCTTTTAAGACAAGAAGGCACCGGCGTCACGCAAAAGCTTTTTCAGCTTCTCGTGCGTGGTGCGTATGTTTAAGCAAATTCAAGACTGAGCTATATTTAGTGAATTATAATTAAATATAAACTTAACTACTGATTGGCTATATATGTATATAGATCGGATACGCGACTCTTTAGAAGCGTATCCTGTCGCATGAACTTAAATCTAGATTAAGTTTGCGAATGACGTCCTTCTGAGACGTCGCAATGCCTAGCTTGAACTAGCGTCATCCCTTCCCATGTTAATCCATAAATGGATATCACATTCACGAGGGTCGATCACGTTTGTGTATCGCACCCAAGTGACAGGTCAAAAGTAATCATGGATACTTTTAGACCAAACATAAAGTTTATTACTTAATGTTTGCGTGTAACTAGATGCCCTGTTACACCATCCCCCGTTTTAGAACGATTGTTACATTTTGTAAAATATCGCCTAGGAGACAGAGAGACTTGCGAGCCGTATATAAACGCGCCGCTTTAGTCTGCTCAATTCTCATGCCACCGAAACGTGGTAAGGCTGATGGGTCGCCTGCAAAGGCGCCCATGCAGTCCAACACTAAGCGCACGCGCCGCAATTTATCACAGCCGTCGCAAAGTGCTTCAGGCACTGAGACGAATCTTTCATCTCACTATAATGTGGATGAAGATCCATCTCTCATTGTAGATTACAATGATAGCACGCCATTGACATCACCCCAAAGTGGAGATGAGCAAAGTACGTTGATGGAACATATGTCCCCATCATTCGAGGCTCCCGTCCTTGAGGGAGCGTCTATGCTTCCTGCAAGCGAAGGTAAAGCCTTGTGGTAAAGCGATCTAATAATTTGAAAGGGATCGATCGAAAAAATGTCGTCGATCCACAATCCTGCGCTCCGATTGGTCAATAAGGCATGCGAGATGGTTGGAAGGGGGAGTAACGGTGTGAAGAACACAGAAGAATATGGATCGAAAAAGGATTGGGTGTGGTCCACACACCACAGTCGCGATCCAGGAGGATCGGATCGAAACCTCGATCCAGAAACCGGATCGATAAATCCGGATCGACAAAACCAGATCGACAAAACCGGATCGACAAAACTGGATCGACAAAACCAGATCGACAAAACTGGATCGACAAAACTGGATCGACAAAACTGGATCGACAAAACTGGATCGACAAAACAGGATCGACAAAACTGGATCGACAAAACAGGATCGACAAAACAGGATCGACAAAACTGGATCGACAAAACAGGATCGACAAAACAGGATCGACAAAACAGGATCGACAAATTAGGATCGACAAAACTGGATCGATAAAACAGGATCGACAAAACAGGATCGACAAAACTGGATCGACAAAAGTGGATCGACACAGTATTTGAAGTGGACCACATAGCAAGTCTGATTTATTTCCAAGAAGGCGACACGCGGCAGTAGATCCTGGGCTACCGATAGGCAAGATCATAGGTTTTGGGTATTTGATTGGTTAACATTTAACAGAGTTTTTTTTTACTTCTAAGCACGCACGCAGACTTCTCTTCCGGGCGGATAACTTTGGCCCCCGACGATCAAGAGCTTCTGCTACGCTCAAACAAGTGATATCCCTGGATTGTTTGGCCAGGGATTACAAGACCTCTCACAAATAAACTTCGCCTGCGATTGGACGCAGTATCACGTAAAGGACAAGGCACAAGATCGCGAGACGGCTCAAGTGGTCAGAAGGTCAAGTGTAACAAGTGGATCAAGTATCTACATTTTTGGACAAGGCGATCTCAAGAGAGATCAGGGCGACTCGTATAGAGCCCCCCCAAGTAACCCTCGATCGCGTGAAGATTCCCGCGTGATCGAACCCCAACCAATATCAACCACGGTCAAGTTCAGCATCAACTCGAGTCCACCGAGAAGAGTGCTACCCGCCCTACCGACGGGTACACAAGGTGAGGAAGGAATTGCTATACACGGAAACGGAGTACCCCCTCCGATAGTCGGTTGTCCGGGCGCCAGTGGAGAGCCAGGGTCACATCAGAAATTTTGTGAACCCCGCTCCACCACAGCCTCGTCGCCTGCGCTTAAGAGCGCAGCGACGAAGACTGAGCACGCTACTTCGAAAGGAGTAGTCGCGACTCAGTCAGATGTGACTCCTCAGGCTGATGTCTTGACAATCCATAACGGAAAGTCAGACTCAGGTGAGTGGGAGCTTAAAGCTTCACCAAGTACACCTTCGACCTCACTAGCCCGCCGTCGCGAGGGCGGCTACGTGAGTGGTGGCTTGCCACCAATGCCACCTCCATCTGAGTGTATGAACTCGGATGGGTCTAGTGCAGCGCTTTTGCAGCGTGCCACTATCGACGCTCATAAATTGTATATCGTCTTTCCTTTGTGAAAAAAGCAGGGCAAAGCACTTGGTCGTGCTTTCCCAATTCCAGTCGTGCTGCGTCTAAACGAAACAGCCGACGAATATGAAGCTGAACTTTGGCGCCGTGTTACCTTGCATGTAGATGCAACGAAAATAACGGTCGCAGCGAATCAGCTTCACCATGAAGCGTGCGCATGAACGCTTGGGTGGTAAGCGACCCCCAATTGATTCTCGCCAAGCTTCTTCTGCTAGTCCATCCGGACCTAGCAGAAAGACGCCAGCTGGTGCTGCTTCACATAAGCAGCCACCAGCCCAGGCACGTCGACGCGCAAAGCGTCAACAGGCTCCCATGAGTCAAAGCTCGTTGGGTAACCCTTCCACTGGACAAGGATTTGGAGCTTTCGCTTCACAAACCGGTGGGCCAACAGCCTTCCAACAAGGAAGTGCGTATTCCCTTCCGTGTCCACCAACACAGGTGGCGCCCGATAGGAGTGACGATTACGCCCACCTACTCGCGGCTGTCTACCCTGCTGCTGTTCAGTCGCAGGCTGATACCACTGCGCTGAAGAGACAGGTGAAAGATGTCGAGAGTCAAGTCTCGCGACCGACTTCGGATCTGCGCGATGTGAGGGCGAGGGACCGTCAGGGGTATGACCGCCTGAAGCTCCGGTTGGATCTGTTAGAGCGACTGGTGATGAGAGACCCGCGTCAAGCGCGGAGTCCTCCTCGATCGCCGAGTCCTCTATCGCCTCGTTCGTATACGGGGAGCCTCTCGGCTTCCTCGTCGCCTGATCGGTCGCGACGCTCGACACACAGTCGAAGTCACCATCGGTCTCGTTAGACCGATGTGGATATGTGATCTCTTCTGGATCAACATACCGTTTTAGACGATCCATGTAAAATATGGGGTGTGCCTTCATATACGGTGGGAGAGTGAGCGTATAATTTAGGTCTTCAACTTCTTCAACCACCGTAAAGGGCCCAATGAATCGGAGCAATAGCTTAGTAGTACCACCAGGTAGTACAGAAATTGCATGTTTAGGTAGGGTAGCAGTACTTAAAAGCACTTTGTCCCCAACACTATAGTGTTCATTGTTTTTGCGACCATGCTGGTCTGCATATTGTTTTTGCTTGTCCTGTGCGCTTGCCATCGCGTCACGGACTTTACATGTGATTTCTAATCGCTCATCCACAAAGCGCTGATCTTCTCACGCTTTTAGCATCCAGCTCGCCTAGACGCTTCAAGAGGTCCGTTCATGGGTCGACGCTGTTGATAACACTATAATGTCATCATCAAGGAGCACTGGCATTTCTTGCCGTGCCTCCTCTGTAACACCTATAGGTGACGTGACCACTGCTAAACTAACAGTGTCACTATGGCAATTTTGGCCCTCTTTGGCATTCGCTCCGAGCGAAGTGAGGAGCCCTCCCCCACTAAGACTCGGGCTGCGTAAAAACGAGACTGGCGTTCGAGGATGACGCAGTCCGTTAATTTAAAATGGCGTTTCACCCGTATTGGCGTGAACACTATTATTAATAGCGAACTCCACGAATGGCAATTGTTTGCTCCATTCTTTGGGAGTCGCTATTGTGCTCAATACATACGCCACAATTCAATTGGCTCGTTCTGTTTGGCCATCGGCCTGGGTAGTGCGGCTGTTGACATGTGGAGCTTGCTTCCCAGCAACTCAAACACATGTCGCCAAAAACCCGACGTAAAACGCGGATCCCGGTCCGATACTATGGACTCAAGCATCCCGTGTAGTCGATACACGTGATCCAGAAACAAGGGGCATCTTCTTTTCCTGAGATCTTGGTGCTACATGGTGCCCAATGCACCATCTTGCTCAGTCTGTCTACAAAGACTACGAGCCTCGTCCTGCCTTTATGGTCAGGCGGTAAGCCAAACATGAAGTCCAAACTGACCGATTTCCAACAATGCGCTGGAATCGGCAGTGGCTTTAGTGGGGCACTTTTCGAAGTGTGCAGGCTTTTTATGCGCTGACACTCTTCGCAAGAGCGAATATAGTTGGCCACCCGCCGATATAGGTGGGGCCATGATAATCTCTCTGACACTCGTAAGAATGTC